TATGTCCAGGTGGACATACAAAGCTTATATTTCATTTGACAAGCCAAGTAAAATGGAGACATGTTAAAAGGATGTCCACGTCCATTTAGTCCCCCCCACCTCCAAAACCCTCTGGTTTCCAAGGCTACAGTTTATAACCATCTGCAGTAAATACTGCTGCAAAGGTTATCGTGTAAATCAGCACACGACCTGCTGCCATTAAAGCAAACTGTTAGTCCTCACTTCAGTTTGAAATTTTAATATCTGCTCGTGACGTCTCCGTTTTATTTCAGTGTGTAGGTGGAGCCTGTATGACTGTTTCAGTTAAACTGGAAAGGAACCATGTCAAGAAAAACAGCTGAGCTCAGGTCCAGGTGCAACAACATGTGCTGGTGACTAATCTCTTAGTTGATTAAACAAGGAAAAAATTAGACTAACCAACTAGTGTAAAACTAGGAAACACTCAGGTATTAAGTTCAATTTGAGAACAGTTTAAAGGAAAATGTCAAAAATGAATTATAGGCCAGTCAGCGAGCCATCTGGGGGCAGATTAAACTCCGCCATGGATTCGACCCCGGAGGGTGGGAGGGTGGGGTTTGGCATCAATGTTAGCAGCAGATCCTGGAAGTCATGTAAGCTGTGAGGCAAGGCCTCCTTGGACTGGACTTGTTTGTCCAACACGCCCCACAGATGCTCGACTGAACTGATATCTGTGGAATCTGAAGCCCGACTCAACACCTTAGACTTGTCCCAGTTGTTCCAGTTTGTGCTACTCAAAGAAGGCACCTTCTCCCACTTCTCCATCATCTTGTTCTGATGCTCAGGTGTCCACTGGTGACCCTTTTGGCAGTAGACGGGGGTCAGCGTGGACATCCTTACTGCTGTGCAGCCCCATGTGCAACAAACTGCGACACGCTGTGTGTTCTGACACGTTTCTATCAGAACCAGCATCAACCTTCTCACCAGTGTGAGCTTCAGTCAGTCACCTGTTGGACTGGCACACACAGGTCAGTCTTTGCACCCTGCTGGTTAACCCCTTCCTTCATTAGATCACTTTTGATAGATACTGACCAGTGCAGACTGGGAACATCCCATAGGAGCTGAAGGTTTAGAGATGCAGTAACACAATCTTAAACCCTTATGCTTGCCCATGTTTCCTGCTATTAAGGAGAAAACCTTCGCATGCTCCCTGATCTATGCCACTCACCAACAGGTGCATTGATGAAGAGATGACCAGCGCCATCACCTCACCCGTCAGTGGTGGATTTCCATATTACCACACCAAGCCTTCTTTTCCACAGTGGCTTCAGTGTGTTGGGCTGTGTCAGCTGGGTGCCGTGTTTCATTAACAGTTAATCTTGTACTCTAAAAACTCAACTGTGTGTCCCTCCAAGCAGATGATGTCTGCCACTGCTGAACAGGGTCGTCACGATACTACAATTTCAAACTCAGTACTGACACCACAGGGACGATTCTGACCCCCTCCTGCAACAATGGTGAAGAAGTTGTACCTTCAAAACATTAACTTGTTCATTTTTCAACAACTTTTCCCAGTTATATGTTAGCTTTAACAAAATAACTATTTCAGCTTAAAGGTTTTATTTATTTTACATAATTTCATTACAGATTATTGCAGGAAAATATATTTCAGAATCTACTAATAAAGAACGGGCGCAAACAAACAACGCTTTACCATCTACATGACTGAATTATTGTAGAAGAAGAACATGATTAAAATGAGTTTGAATTGGAGTCGGGCAACTGGATGAATATTTCGACCATCGCCGATAGGCTGAGCATACTCAGCCGGATGGTGGACGCGTGCATGCTCATGCAAGTTAGTCGAGTTTGAGTACTTTGCTCGTACTACACTGATTACATTGCTCTGCAATTAAAAAGTCTGTGGATGCAC